GTTGGTATACCTCAGATCAGTAACAACAAAATAATTGAAGTATGCCAGCAAACATCCCTGTTAAAGTTATATCTAAAAATTAAATACTTTCTATAAATTGCCACTGCCTAATTATGACAGAAAATAAAACTTCAAGCAAAGCATAGTTGAGTGTAAAAAGGAGGAAATTAAAAAACACCCAGTCCTAATTCAACATTAGCATCATGAGAAAGAATGCTAAAAATACGAATTTATACAACTGCCTTCTGTTTTACAGGTCTAATCTATCCTTTCAATAATGCACATAGGAAAATAGCATTTTTAAAAGTGAATAACTTAGATGTATAAAATTTAAAAATCTCTGCTGAAAGCATAACTGAATGAAGACTACAATGGATAATGAATAAGTAGGTCTGGGGTTTTAGCTCAGTGGTAGGGAATCTGCCTAGCGTGTCCAAGAGTCTGGGTTCAATCCTTACCATCCCAACAGAGAAAAAAAGAGTAAATTTTTTTTGCGTAGTAAATGTTATTGACTATTATTGCCCCTCCCCTGTAAAGCAACAGAATATTGATAATGAGATGTCTTTATTTGATACATTATATATCTTATTCAATTGGAGATGTTACAAAGGCTTGTGCCTATATTTCACTGTTGTAAGATGTATAAAAGACTGAATGACTCACCTGAAGAAGATTGGGGTCTCCTTTTGTTTCAAGTAAATTCTGAGGTATCAGAAGAGGCTCACTTTTCTCACAGCTCTCCTGGCTGATGAGGGTGTCTGCATAGTTGGGTTGTGGAAAGATGAGGTGGCTCTTCCTTGAGTCCGCAGTGAGTGAGACCTCATGAGAATAGGTCTGCAAGAATGCGTGCACTCCATCCATGCCCACAAAGTGAGAAGTAGGCATCCCTGCCAACCCATTACTGGCAGACTGAAGTAGGCGAGTCATGTGCCAACGCCGCAGCCTTAGTGCCAGTAGCACGATGACAAAGGCCAGGAAAATACAGGAGACAACAGCTACAGCCACCACCAGGTAGAGCGTGAGGTCAGCATCATCAGGGTCAACAGGGGTCCTGATGCTGCCCAGGTCTGCTAGAACATCAGGGATGCTGTCAGCCACAGCTATGGTGAGTGTGACAGTGGCAGAAAGAGGTGGCTGGCCATGGTCCTGTACAGCCACTAGGAGGCTCTGCTTGAGGGCATCTCTGTCCAGCAGGGCTCTTGCTGTGCATACCTCACCTGTGTGCAGCCCCACGGAGAAGAGCCCTGGCTCGCTGGCCTTGAGCAGGTGATAGGACAGCCAGGCATTCTGACCCGAGTCTCGGTCCACTGCCACCACCTTGGTCACCAGATAGCCAGGCTCTGCAGATCGGGGTGCCAGCTCCACACCAGTGGAGCCATCAGTGGGGAGAGCAGGGTACAGGATTTCAGGTGTGTTGTCATTCTGGTCCAGCACAAACAGGTTAAGTGACATGTTGGAACTGAGTGGAGGGTTTCCGCTGTCCGTGGCAGTCACCAGTAGCTGCAGGTCTCGGAACAGCTCATAATCAAAGGAACACAGCGCATACAGGACACCAGTGTTGGAGTTGATGGAGACATAAGAGGACAAAGGTGCCCCCTGGATGGTGTCCTCAGTCAGGGAGTAGGTGACTTGGGCATTCTCACCACTGTCAGGATCCTGGGCTGTGATGGATAAAATGGAGGCTCCTCTGGGGTTGTTCTCCTGAATGTAGGCAGAGTAGGAGGCATGAGTGAAGGTAGGTGGGTTGTCATTGATATCCACCACCTGCAGTGAGATATGAGTCTCTGTAGACAGTGGTGGAGTCCCCTGGTCTGTGGCAGTTACTGTAATGTTATATTTGAAGACTTCTTCCCTGTCCAAAGTTCTGTGTATTAATAACCGATGATAATTTCCATAGGTCTTTTCAAGCCTGAATGGCAAATTATCCTGGATAGAACAAGTGACAAGTCCATTCTCTCCTGAATCACTGTCATGCACATTGAACAGTGCAATTACTGTACCTGGGGAAGAATTTTCTTGGATTGAGCTGATGAGAGAGGTAACTGTCACTTCTGGGGCATTGTCATTTACATCCAGAACTGTCACCAGAACCTTACTTCTGGCTCGGAGACCAGGTCCATCATGGGCTTCTACATCTATGTCATAGAATCCAGAGTCTTCATAATCTAGATCTCCCACTATTGTTATGTCCCCACTCAGAGAATTCAACTGGAATAGCTGGGATATTTTGTCTCTTACTTTCCGGAAAGAATACGTCACTTCTCCATTGGCTCCTTCATCTGGATCAGTGGCTTTAACGGTGAGTAGCCGAGTGCCAATAGGCAAGTTCTCCCGAACACTTACATGGTACTCAGGCTGAGTAAATACAGGAACATTATCATTGGTGTCTATAAGTGTTACGTGAATCCTGGCAGTGCTCGAGTGAACTGGGTCTCCTCCATCCAAGGCAGTGAGAACGAGGTGGTGCACTGCCTCTTCCTCGCGATCTAAGGCGCGCTCCAGCACCAGCTCTGGGTACTTAATCCCGTCGGCCCCGCTTTGCACATCCAGGGAGAAGTGACCATTGGAGCTGAGCTGGTAACCCTGCAGGGAATTTATCCCTATATCTGGATCGAAAGCTTCAGGGAGAGGAAATCTTGTCCCAGGAATTTCATGCTCAGCAACTTTTATTTCCCTCTGCTCTGTTCCAAAGGTGGGAGAGTTATCATTAATATCGTTTATTTCCACTTCTATTTCAAAAATCTTCACTTTGTCCTCTAGGAGAATCTCCAGGTTTGCCACACACTTTGGAGCTCGCTCACAGAGCTCCTCTCGGTCTATCCTGCCTGCCGTGACCAAATTACCGCTCCGCGGACTCAGAGCGAAGAGCTGGGTCTTACCTCTGGAGACGATGCGGACTCGGTGCTCAGCCAGCTTCTGGGACTCCAGCCCCAGGTCCTTGGCGATGTTACCCACCACAGAGCCTTTCTCCAGCTCCTCGGGCACCGAGTAGCGGATCCGTTCGGCCCGGATTTCCCACAGAGCCCCCAGGAGTATGCAGAGCCAGACCAGTCGATTGTAGCCTGCTGAAAAAAGAGGCGCCGCCATTACCTTCCCGCCGCGGAGTATGCTGAGCTGGGTGCTTCCTCTGTGGAGCCCTGAGGAGCCTTACGATCCGATCCTTGGATTCTAAAATAATGTGCTTTCACCACGGGATGCTGGAGGGGATCCGAGTTGAAGCTTTCCTGAAGCCCCAGAACCAGAGCTTTGTACTGCAGAAATCTTGTTCAGATGAAATTTCTGGTTGTCTTTTCCCCCCTGATTGGTGAACAGCGACGCTCAGAGTCCTAACCTATTATTGCAATTTATTCTTAAAGTACGGCTTTTATACTACCTTTCGCATTCCTAATCCCATTTCTTCCAAATAGAACATAATTTAAAATTCTGTTGTCTAACTTGCAATGAAAATCCAGGAATGAATCAAATTTTCCTGTATGGTAAACTTTATTAAGTTATTTCTTTTTTGCAGAAAAAAATGGTGATTTTTGGCAAAGAATGTTTTCTCCCTCCTTTCAGTTTTTGCATTGTCCATCCCCATGTTCCATTTTCTGTATACTGTACTGTGTGTGTTGAACATCCATTTCTCTTAGGAAAAAGAGTGAACTTGAAGGGTGAAGGAAAATGACGGGTGAAAAGACAGTAGTGGGTTTCTAGCTTGGAAGTCCAGCTCTAGTCCCAACCCATGCAGAATTAACTTTCTTCACCTAAGTTTATCCTTTAGAGCCTGGGGTAACTTTTCAATTCTTTTACAACAAAATACCTGTTGTTCAAGAGATAGTTTTATCTCTCTGTAAATGGGCTTGGCAAAAATGATTCAAGACTTGGGAAGAAAAAATTTGCTGATTAATTTGTATACAGGAGATTCTAGGCCACAAGCTATGCCTGTGACTATTTTGTTCATAGTGTGTCTTTCAATCTTTAGAACAGTGACTTTCTTAGAGTAGGCACTCAACAAAGTTTTTTCAATGTTTGATGAATGAACTACCAAAGCAAATGCAAAGCCTCAAGCAATGAGTAAATAATTCTGATATTAAATAAACAACTGTGTAAAAGACAGAAGCAATAAGCTGAAGCACTGTAAAGTGCAGATATTATTTCAGTGATTTTAAAAAAATATCAGACACCTCCAGTAGCCTTATTTTACCATTACAAATGATGTTATTTTATCATTATTTTTCTTTCTTTAGTTTTGATTATGGAAACATCCAGTAAAAGGCAATATTTTAGTAGTTGTTTATGCATCGTTATTGAATGCTCTATAGCTTTTTTTTTGTGGTGCTGGGGATAACTCAGGACCTTAACCATGCTAGGGAACTGCTCTGCCATTGAGCTATATCTGCAGTCCCCTTGTAGCTTTCTTGAGTACAGTAATTTGAGAAATTTTGAGATAAAGCAGTAAGTCACTAGTTCTTTAAGTTATTCCTCACTTAACAGTTACCATATAGAGTTGACTTAAATTTTAAAGAGAAATAAAACTTTACTAACCATATAGAAAACTTACATCTTCAGATTTTCAGGGATTGGACTAAAGGTATTTTTTCCCACAATCCTTAAAAGACTCACTAATTGCTGGAGAGTGAGACATTAAAATGAGATGTTTTGGGGCCGGGGATTTAGCTCAGTGGTTTTGCCGCCTGCTATGCAAGTGCAAGGACCTGAGTTCAATCCCCAGTACCAACCCCCCCCCCAAAACAAAAACAAAAACAAAAACAAAATGAGATGTTTTGGAAATAGATTTGATAATATGCATAAAAATCTCATGGTACTCATAGATTTGACTTACTTTCAGAAATCTATACTAAAATATAGGAAATGCTCTATAAATAAAAATGTTCATTACATTACTTATTGTAATAACACAGTAGCAAGATCATAAAATAAATGACTAAAGGCGGTTAAGAAATTTATAGAATATACTTGAGTGAAATTCTGAGAGAATTGTAGGATTCAAAGTTAGTGATCTAAACTGAAAATGTAAATAAGGACTAAAAGGTATAATAGATAATGCGAAATAGGAGGAAAAGGGGCAAAGGGGAGGGGGAAGTGGGAGGGGTAGGGGAAAGGAAAGAAGGGAATGGAATTAATATGAGAAAATGAAAAAATGGAAACAAAG